TGCAAAAATAATGGATTTCTTTTTACTACACCTAATATATATATATATATCTCAATTTAAGTGTAAAGAAGTGTAAACAAGTTGAACAGATTATTTTGTGTGCCTTCCAATAAGTGACACAAATGACATGATGTGATGACAATGGATCATTACATCCTTATTGTTTTACCAATATTAAACAAAGATGACATGATGACTGTGTCGCTTTGACTCAGTACAATTATGGCTGTGTTCCAAAATTCATTGCCAGTGCTGAAAATGTATAATATATGTAACGTAAACTATAGATTTTCCGTGCTGCACATACAGTCTACAACGCAATGAAATTTCCTAACCTTAAAAAATATCAGAAAATATCGAAACAATTTTAATACAGTTATCTCTATATCACGCAACTTTAATTATCATTTTGGTGTTTATATTTACGAGTACATGATATATAATACATACATTTTCTAATTTCCCAAATCAGAGTGAATAGGTCCACATATTTATCCTTACGCAATTTCAATCTTGGTGTGTGACAGATAAATCATTTAGCTTTTTGATCTAATGGGTAAGCCGAGAGATGTAAGTACGGAAGAGGAGATAAATTTAGGTAATTGTATATTCAATGTATTTACATCAATTTTGTATGCATATGTAATGTACATGTTATAACAATAATATATAATGTAATAATTTATGTTAAGATTCATTCAATTTTGATTTTGTTAATTGAATTTTGTTAGATACAAATGATGTCTCGCCGCAGAAAAGACATAAGAAACATAAACATAAAAAGCACAAGAAAAAAAAGCTTATCCACGATGACAGCGATGCCTTTGTAGAAATCTCAACCGATGCTGATCGGAAGAAAAGCTTTCGAATAAAAATGAAAAAAGAAGATGAACGGAGGTATGTGTATTATATAGTGTTTATTTTCTTATACTTTTTTTTGTGCATTGTATTTCAGAAAGCTAAAGAAATCAATTATACAAAATTACATTCTTCAGCTAATTTCTATTTAAGAGTTTCAATTTCAAAATTAATTATAAAAATATGTGTTATGTCAAGTTTGAATAAGTAATGACTTTTATCAATATCTTTTGCTAAGAAAAAAATGATTTTCATTAATTTTTTTGTAGCAATATATCACGTTTAATTTTAAGAATATTCCTATAAATTATATATACACATGATACACACATATGCAATAATTTTTATTATTTTCTAGTTTGGATAAACGTGAAAAAATATTAAAAACATGTGGTTTGAATACAGCTGCAATAAGTACTGCACCTTCTCCGAAAACAGCTGCAAAAAAAAAAATTCCAAAAGGTAACAAAGGTAAAGATAGTGGAACTAGCAGCGAAGAAGAAAGATGGCTTGACGCCATTGAATCTGGTAAACTGGAGGAGGTATATTTTCCTCTTTTTTGTTTATTGTAATAAACCAAAAACAATTGTATGACATTTAGTATTCCCATATCATTATGTCTGATCATGTTCAATGATAAGTCTAATAAGATAATGAAATAGAGAGAGAGAGAGAGAGAGAGAGAGAGAGAGAGAGAGAGAGAGAGAGGGAGGGACTTTTTATTGTATTTTATTCTAGGTTGATGACGAATTAAAAAAAATTAAGCCAAAAGATCCAAAGTTAATGACAGCACGACAAAGAGCAATGTTCGAAAGAAAGACTGATACAGAGCCGAATCCAGGTGTCGAACAACTCATGTCGTTACCTACTGGTTACAAAGAAAAAGTCATGACTGCCGAAGCTATACAGAAGGCTGCTCTAAAGTCTCTGAAACGGAAACAACTTGCTGATGAAAAAAGAGAAAAAGATAAGGTAGCGAATAACAAAAAGCTTTCTCTGATGACAAACATTAATAATGGGTTTAATAATGGGTAAATTGTATGAAATGAAAACCTTTTTGAATTATTTTTATAGAAAAAGACAATGGAAAGATTGCTTAAGAAGCAAGAATCTAAAGCATCCAAAGTTATCAGTAAGGGAAGATTATCTAAACGACAAGTACCATTAGTGACGTATCGCTTAACGATTGAAGGAAGTTCTATATCTTTACCTCCCGGTGAAAATTTTCCACTTTCTTCTGCCAAAGAGTATGACAGAATTATTGTTATTATCATTTTCTATACTGACATATTTAGGACGCAACATTTATGTATCCTTAATTCAATATTTTAGGAAAAGTCCGCCAAAACAAATCCTTTGCGGGGTAAAGCAATGTAAAAATCTCAAAAGATATTCATGTTCGAAAACCGGAATACCATTGTGTAGTTTAAAGTGTTATAAAGTCAATCTCCTTTTAACTAGGTGAACTAGATGATACAAACTTTTTTCCATAAATTTTAATATACACACATATATATATA